TGTGGAAATTAAATTGCAACACAACGGTAGCTCAGGTCCCAAAACTGTGGCCTTATCCTAGCTGTTTTCCTTTGCCTATTTCCCCCATAACATTAGCAACTCCTTGTGTGTCTACCATTAAAGTATAATCCAGATTTTGAATGCTTTCTCACTTCAACCACCCCAGAAATCACTCCAGCCAAGCCTCCGTGTTAGATTATTGTTGGAGTTTCTTAATAATGGGGACAATTATGAGTAGGAGATAAAGAAGATAATGAAGACTGATGACAACATCTCTATATTTTTGTCTATTTGGGGGCAGATTGTGCCTAAATTTATGTAAGGGTATTGGATTATAAGAACCAGAAACCCATTTATATTCATTTGTGTAAAGAAAAGCATAGTGAGATTTCATAAGGAATAAGTACTGGAAAACCAGGAGTTGATACACTGTTATTTGCTGCCTAGTGTCACTTCTCTGTAATTGGTGAGTCTTCTCCATTTTCCTGTTTCCCAACTAAGTTTGGACACTCTCAGCTTCAATTCTAATTCTATCAGACATCCCACTTCAGGCTATTTAGCATCATCATTATGATTCAACTCAGATTCCCAGAAGCAGGTACCTTCCTTGCTTGACTTACATCAGGTGTCTGTCTCTGATCCACTGAGTTTGGACCAGGACTCATAGACACCTGTTCAAAACACAGCCCCAGCATTTCAGTAGCAGCCAGGGCAACCATTCAGAAGACAAGACCTGAACTAAGCAAATTAGCTAATTAACGTCTCTGCTGCAATTTACAAATAATTTAAATTCAAGATTCTGTGGTAAATAAATATTGTCATGAACACTCCCTTTGGGAGTCAACAAACTATAATTAAGTCAATATAAATTAATGCTAGCAGAGAAAGTAAAATTTGAATACCATCCAAAAAAGTTTGCCAATAATGTATTTTCTAATTAAAATATTTATTTTTAGTTTATATTTTATTCCTCTCAATCAGCAACTAGAAGCCCCTGTGAGACCAATAGGAGAACCCTCGTTAGCCTTTAAGCCAAATAATGAGGCAGTTTCGGAAAAAGTTATAAATAATGAATGCCCTTTCCTTTTTTAATGTTGATTTTTGCTTTCCTTTTAATTTATTTGTACTGAGTATTGTTTAGAATTGTCCCCATCCAGCAAAATGTAAAATAAATATAAGTTACATCATCATCTCCTGGTCCATTCTTCAATGAGCAAGTGAGAAAGAACTCTGTTTCTTGACCAAAGTTAGAAACTTACTGAGTTGCGTGACATTATTATAGTGATTCATTCATTAGGACGAAACAAACTGTGTTGAGAAATTATTATGCATTAAATTTAAAATAAATAACAAAAGATTGTATTTAAGATTTTATTCTAAACATAACATTTCTATTTTCACTTAAAATCTTAAGTATTCTCTTAATTTTAAAAAGATATTGATTAGAAACTGACTTACAAGAAATATCATGAGTTTGAAGATCTATTATTTTATTTTGCTTTTTTAAAGGTAATAGGTTAGATCATTGCTACTTTTTATCTACAGAATTTTGGCTATATCCTTATCTCCCTGAATTTGGAAAGGGTAGATAATTAGTGACATCTAACCTCTCTAAACATACCACATTAATCTTGATTCCATGTGTCCTTTATGAACCAAAATTTTTGGAGCACAAGAATGTCTTCATTATCTGATGAGAGTGATGAGGTTTGGAAATCAAAATGAAAGTTTGGTAGTCAAAATTAAGTGGCTTTTTTTTTTTTTAATGATAACCAATGGCAGTGATGACTGCAATGATAACTTTACTCTCTGCCCCTCACTAAACCAAACCACCAACTCCCCAACTCCCAGGGGGAAAGTAGTATTTCATTTTACTGATGAAGACCCACAGAAAAAGGAATTTAGCTGAGGATGAACATATTACCAAGAGCTTGATTGAGATTCATATTTGGCACACCACAGAGCCTGGATTTCCCCCACAATACCACAGGACCACTGAGCAAGAAATTAGTCCTTCTTTAAAGGGTTTTATAATTCATAGTTGACAAATTAGCCCTCCCTGATTGCTCAGAGGGTTAAAGCACAGCACTAACAAACTAGCCACAACCACTTCAGAACAAGTTCGATCCCCCACCAGGGAGTTGACCCACAAAGTACAGAAGACCTGGCCTGTCTCACCTGCTGCTCCTCCCCTCAGCAGTTTACTTCAGTAAATCTGCCTTTTCTGCTCTTCACTCTGTCTCTAGTGAATCCTCTCACTGCCCCTGTACCTCTGGCTTGTACCCCAGGTCTGTATAATAAATAAATATTTAAAAAATTTTTTTTGACAGATTACCCAATATGTTAAACTCAACCACATGAGAAGGTGGATTACAACTTCTGTGGGGAAGAAACTCTCTGTTATGCAATGTTATCCTATGGAGACATTTATATTTTTAAAAAACTCACTAGATAATTCTGTTGTTCTTCCTCCACACACCTCCCAATGTTCTTCTTATCTTCTTCATAAGTTCAACTCCAACTCAGCGGGAATCAACTAGTATTAGAATTCCAGCCTCCCCAGCCTGTCAAAATACCCTTTTCAGTCCTTGCACTTAATTCCATCAGTGAATTCATCACAAGGTTTCACACTTACTTTTTGATATGAGGGTTGCCCCTTTAGCTTGTGAAGAATTGCGTATTTGTGGCTACATTGCACAAAGGTAGTAAACAAAAAGTTCCATAGTCACTAGGAAATAGTTTAAGAAAGCCTTCAAGTATATCTTACTGTTCTTTGCACCCACTTATTAACTAATTCAATGAATATCAAACTACAGGACCATGGTACGGATTCCAAAGGTTAAGCACTATCTCTGAACGCTGGCGTTTCACGGAGAACTACGTTTCCCGAGACCTCTGGGTACCAGTTGTAGTGAGTTCGCTGACTGTGTTTGAAGGCCTGTCTCTAAGTCAATGAGATGGCCTGAATTTCCCAGCACGGGACAGACAGCGGCCTATTACAAGAGGGGGGCGGTCATTTCTGATTTCTGTTCAGAACTGACAGCCCTTTGTAGCTCCTCTGAGGCTCTTCACAGGACGTTCAGGGCAGGGCGGGGAGCTTCCTATCCAGGGGTGTGTCCTCCTTCCCCACCCAGCGCCCCACAAATAAGAATGTGTCTTTATGTGTTTCCCTCCTTGAGTTTTTCCCAGTTTCCTCATGCTTCCTAATCAAATACCTCTGCTTCCCACCCACCTCTCCTTATTGAACCACCAACCTTCGGGGATGCGTGGTGTGGGGGGCGGGAGGAGGTGAAGGAGGTACCAGCAGAATGATTCTCTGTCTTTTCGAACTTGTGCCAGACTCGGCTCCAAGCATCCAAGTGAGGTTGTGTCAGCGAAACAGCGAAAGGTTTGATCCAAATCATCCTACCCTCCTTTCCCCTTGCAAGAGGGTAATCGGCATTTCAGGGTGATTTCAGGTTCTGAAAATGAGTGGCAGCGCCGTGTTTACTTCCACCCTCGCTCCCGCCCCCAGCCCCACCCACCCCAGCGTGAAGACTGGATCCAGGATGGTGCGTCCCCGGTTGGGGAAGACACCCGGCCGGGACTGTGTCCCCTCCCGCAGCCTGGTCCGTTGTGACAGCCACGTTGTGGCGTGCCATCGCCACGCTTTTATTTCTACTAACAGTAACAGCTTCAAGCAAATGTATCTCCACACCACACCGCACGCCTCCCCCCACCACCACCACACACACACCTCATTCCCCTTTTCTCTCCTTTCCTAGTACCTGTCGGTCATCCTTATGCCACAGACATAATCGTTGCTTAGAGTCTGTTTTTCAAAAACCAAGTACAAATCAATCCAAGACAACGTACAGCAATAAAGCAACAACAATAACGCAGCCACCATCAGCCGGCAGCGTGTTCCTCATTACAGGGTGAGAGCATAAACTCCCCGCTTTAATGGGCGGTTTCAAAATGAGCTTTCCTGCTGCTTGTCAGCCGTCAGCGCTGTTACTATCCCAGCTGCAGGAGAAGCAGCTGCACACCCTGGCAGGGCGATTGGGGTGG